CACCATCCATCATCCATACATCATCCATGCATCATCCATCCATCCACCCACCACCCATCCATCCTTCCATCTATCCATCCATCCCATCATCTATCTGTCATAACCAACCAAACAATTGATCAACATTCCCTCCCTAGCTCCTTCATTTCAATCAACTAACCAACCAATCATCCTTCCTTCCCTCCCTAACTCCCTTCCTCCAACCAACCAGCTAACCTTCACTTCCTCTCTATAACCAACCAATCACCACTCCCTCCATCTTACTAACCAGCCAACCAACACGCCTTCCCTCTAACCAACTAAGTAACCATCACTCCGTCCCTCCAGCTAACCAGCCAACATCACTTCCTCCCTCCAATCAATCAACCAACAATCCCAGCCTCCATCCCTTCAAAAGTCCCTCCCTTCAAGATACTTTACCTCCTCTTGAGGCAAACACGGACCCGCTAAATCTTTTCTAAATTGCACCATCTTAATTTATCCCAAACAACAAGGTACACGACAGAGAAAGGGACAAAGGTTACAAGTTGTATTTCCTCAACATTGCTGCATGAACCAAAGTTTATGTTTTGAGTCATCACTCTTAAAATCCCACAACATGCTGTAATGATCCAGCGAGATCAGAGCATCGCTGGCTGAATCAGACAGGGCAGTAATCAGACCGGCTGCTCTCTCATACCTTCGCCAAAGGCAACATACCTTCAGACTAACCCCTGTCATGTGTAATTAAACAGCCCCCAGACAAAACAGCAAACAAACTACGTACGGAAACAAAGACACCAGTGACGATTACTGTGTCTTCACCAGAGACAACATCAGCAGTGAAACAAAAATCTTTCGTTGTACTGTAGCTACAGAGATGGAGCCACAGACGGACTCGGGGAGTGAACAGCTGCTATGAGTAAACGTGTCTTCTGCAGGGAGACACCTGTGCTGTGTTACACCGTGTAGAAAACAAAAAACGCCTCCGGCTACTTGGAGCTGCAGCTCAGCACGAGGCAGAGCAGACGCCCTCGAGTTCAACCCCGGTGACCTCAGGGTCAGAGGTCGACAGGTGAAGCAATTTCAAGGTAAACACCAGTGACGTGGAAATATCTGCAGTTGTTTCGTCAGCTTTGAATGGTTTCCCCTTTTAAAAGATTCAAACCCATCAACATTTTTATTTCGTCACGCTGGTTATAAGATTTGTCCTGCATGCCTACAAGACGTGCTAAAAAATTACAGCGCAGATTTGGTTCCTCCGGCGTTGACGGTGTTCAGCGCAGTCTGCTCCTTCAGCTCAGACGGCTGCTTTCCACTCAGGACGAGCGGGAACAGACACAGGTGTGTCTATACGTGCGAGCTGGGTTCAGAGCGAGGCATGAATAGACAGCCTCATGCGATAGGAGCGGGACGAGGCCACAAGGTGGGGAGGGAGCAGAGGGAGGAGGAGGTGAGCAGGGAGAGCGAATATTTGAGGAACTAAGGGAGGCCTGATGGAGGAATGAAAGACTTCCATTCATCCCAGCGTCGGTGGTGGCTTTCAACCTGCAGCAGGTAGGGCATGAATAGATGTATAGACATTTATGGAAAGACGGTCAGGTTCTAAAATAAGAAATGTCCAAATTTTAGTAAATAAAATAAAGGTGGGCAAGATTTATATATTTATAATTCATCGGTTCCCCTCATTCTGTAAATCAGAAACACCAAATATAATCATCTGAAACCAGAAACTGTTAAAATGTTAATGCTTTGGACTAATCTAACTGGTTTAAAGAACAACCAAAGTGCCTGCACTACACTTCCCAGCATGCAAAGGGCTCTGGGGGTCTCTGAGAAGAGCTGGGGCAGAAAACAGACAGGAGATCTGTTCTAATGAGTCCACAGAGAAGACCCTGTTAGCTGGACCTGAAACAAAATGTGCTACAGATGCTGCTCTCCATGAATCAACCAAAACAACAAACAGGCAGAAACACAAACTAGAAACTGAGCCTCAAACAAACTGTGGGCATAACCTGTACAACTGTACAAGCTCATATGTGTGAATGTTTGATTAGCTATAGCACACTATGTGGGCGTCATGACAGATTAAAAACTTTTCATAAACAATGGGAGTCGATGAGAGTTTAGCTGGGTGTCAGGCTCTGGCCTCTGAGGTTATTAAAGATAAAAACCATAAGTCCTACAGCAGTGATGAGCATGCTACATTAAAAAGACCAAAATGCCTTTACTTTGATGCATGAGCATTAAAAGCAATGCATTTCTGGCTATAGGAAGCATTTAGAAACCTTTTTGGACGGTTTAAATGACTCAAAAGCTGAACACTTTGTGCTTAAATTTCCAAAAATCAAACTGCTGTTGTATAAAACTGTTAAAGATCTGAAAATGCCCGTTCAGTCACGTAAAATGAGCCGTTTAAACGTTATATTGATGTGAAGTTTGTCTGAAAACGTTGGATTTTACCTCTCATCTCACCAAAATCTCACTATTGACAGCAAACTTTATTTACTAATTTCACCTACATCTAGTTTTGCCACCAAACGTCATATCACTTTATTTCTGACATGTTTTAATGTATTTATTGTATTTCTAAAACTCCGGGAGAAGCTGTGATTTAAAAACCACGACAGAAACAAAAGAATAAAACAGTAATAGACTTTATTACATGAATGACTCTTTACGTTTTCATATTAATTTCACGAGTTTTCAAAGAGTTTAATTTGACAAGCGTATTTATGTAAAATCCTTCATATTTATTGTTTGTATTTTTCTGGCAATCTTTTTAATTATCATATTCACATTTAAAAATATGTTTAATATTTAGTGGTAGTAGTCAAAAATGTGAAATTAAATTGATGTGCCTTTATGTTTAAATCTCTAAAGACGAGTATGTTTTAAGCCAAACAACTTGAGAGTTTGTTAGGAGTAAAATAACAGAGAAGCTGAGAATAAAATCCTTCTGAGTTTTCATTAAATGCTCCGAGGCAGGGCATCTGGTATCTTTGGCACTGGCAGATCAGAATATTTATTCCTTTCAGCCCAAAGAGGGAGCACCATTCATGCACACATGACACGAGCGCAGAACTCTCCTATAATTAAAAACATCTCCGACACAACTTCTCAGGAACTTCCTTTTTGTCTGGCAACATCAGAAGAACTGTCTGTTACATCGTTTGGTGCTACAAGGGAAAAGAAATCCTGGAAAGGTTGTATTTTCTTCATTGAAAATATCAATATATCAAAAACTGGCTAAAAATATCTGTTCAATGGTGAAGTACAATCGTAAAAAAATGTACAAAAGACCTCTTGACCTGCTACAAAGTGAAAAACTGCCCAGATGAACTTTGACCCTCTACAGTTTTGGCCAAAAACCTTTAAGGAATAAGTAAATCACAATAGCTTTCAATAAATAGATCATGTGTCACATTCTGTGGTAAAATCCCCAACACAGTAAAGCGCTAATATTTACCGGTGTATATGCCACAACTTTTTTCTCACACTCAGAACTCCATGGCTTATACACAGGAGTGGCTAATTTGGGTACTTTTATTATAATTTTAACATTTCATTTTATTTTTATACTTAATTTGACAGGCTTCCTGCTGCTGAATAACACTTTCTTAACAGAGCTGCGTGCTCATATAGCTGCCCAACACCCTTGGGCGCAGGTTTTTGAGACACACAGAGTAAATATCACAGGTAATCACATGCACCATACCTCTCGCTCATGGTTCCAATTTTACTACCCATAATTCCACTCTGTCATCATGTGACTAGAATAATATTGTGTTATGCGTTGTCATCATTGTATGTTCCCATACAATGGCGAAATTGGCTCTCTGCATTTAACCCATCCACCACCAGGTGGTGCAGTGGGCAGCTATTGAGGGTGTCCGGGGAGCATTTGGGGATAGGGTGTGCTGCTCAGAGACACCACGAGATGTGCAATGACTGGGGATCGAACCTGGGGCTTATGTGTCCCGAGTCGGTTGCCCTGCTTCTACCCCATCTTGGCCCTTTAACCTTAATGACCAATGACGTATTCTCACTGAGTTACGAGGACCCCCCAAGATACATGTGCACTAATGAGGCTACCTGTTTATGGTAAGTAACGGTGACACTGGTTTTCTCATTTACAATGGCAGCTGAGTTAAATCTAATCTCTAGTGTGTCTAGTTTTGGTTTTGTTGGCACATGAGAGAAAGAGTTGTACAATTATCATTTTGGGAGAGCTTTTATCCAAAACAGTGCTCAGACCTTAGATGTTTGGAGGTTCTCGCCACCTGGTGGCAGTGTATGATATTACAATGTTTTTGTTAGAATGTGCTTTTGAAAAAAATAATAGAGACAAATAAAGCCATCAAAAATATCTCTGGAATAGCAAAGACAGGTTTAAGTCACGTAAAGCCTGTTCTTTGCGAGAAGTGAAATGTGACAAAATAAAAGTTCACCACATAAAATCACAAATTGCTTAAATTTGATCATATTATCTTTAAAACGTTCAGAGACTCAGGAAACAAATGAAAGGACTAAAAAACAAATGAAGGCCAGACGCAATTAAAACCAACTTTCTTTGCATCAAACTTAAAATGAACCCATTTTTAGAAAATGAACTCTGCTCTGTCACTTCATATGTTATACAAACAACAGATTCATCCCCATCGAAACAACTTACAGGTCATCTAACTAAAGCAGATCTCTCTAAAAGCTCCCAGATATCTCAGATCTGTGTGATGTTCTTAATAAAACCAAGAAAGCCCATCTCTGCATCTGGCTCTGGTTTCTATCAAGACCACATTCCTCTTTGGCTGAATCAAAGAGGTCCAGCTGTATGTCAATAAAGGAGCTAAACTCAAAAGCCATCCAAGCAAAACACATGAGGCAAGGCAATAAAACTGAAAAAAACATCCAATAAATGGCAAGAACTGAATTTTCTGTGAACATATTTCCAAATGATGCTTTCAAAGGGAAAATTGTGAGTTTATATATGTTAAAACGATTCAGTGATTTGAGAGCTTTACCTGGAAAACCTCCTCGTCCAGAATCCTGGTGCCAAACACCGTGATGCCGTTAGTGCTGATGGAAGCTTGGTCACTCCTGAGGAGAGGTTTGGTGATCTTCTTCTTACAGTCTACAATGATGGTAACCGTCTTCTTCTCCACGCTGATGGCCACACGGTGCCATCTGGTCAAAATCAGGAGAAGCAGACATTATTAATAACAAATGTACAACATTTGGCACATTATACACCTATATTGAAGATATCCAACTTCAGCAAACACAGAAGTGGCTATAATGCAGTCAATTTAGTAAATATAGAGCTAAAATTTGGTGTGGTAGTAGCTGAGAGTCATTTATAACATATATTCGGAGCACTGACACATTGTGATATTGCACAAAATGTTACTTTAAATCACAGAATGCTAGGCTTTTTAACTAAAGATTATAGATGTAAGATATTTAAAATAAGGGAACATATAGTGATCCCTCACCTATAGTGGGGGTTACGTTCCAGAGACCCCCACAGTAGGTGAAAATCTGCCAAGTAACAATATATTAGTTTTATTATTTATATGCACTGCCTGGCCAAAATAAAGTCTCCACCTGGATTTAACTAAGCAAATAGGTACAAGCCTCCTATTGGATAATTACTGCATGGGCGATTATCTTTCAGCTGGAAACAAGTTAACTCCAACTGGTGCAATGAGTTGCTTCTCATTTCTTGAACAACCATAAAGACACATCGCGTGGTCATGGAAAATATGTCAGTCTGTTTGAGAAGGGTCAAATCATTGGCAGCAAGCAGAAAAAACATCTAAGGAGATTGTAGAAACTACTAAAATTGGGTTAAGAATCGTCCAATACATTATTAAAAACTGGAAGGATAGTGGGGACCCATCGTCTTCGAGGAAGAAATGTGGCCGGATAAAAATGTGGCCTACTGTACAAGCCTGTGGGGGCAGTACTATGATCTGGGGTTGCTGCCGTTGGTCAGGTCTAGGTTCAGCAGCACTATGTGCTCAAGGAATGAGGTCAGCTGACTACCTGAATATACTGAATGACCAGGTTATTCCATCAATGGATGTTTTCTTCCCTGATGGCACGGGCATATCCCAAGATGACAATGCTAGGATTCTTCCATTTCGAATTGTGAAAGAGTGGTTCTGGGAGCATGAGACATCATTTTCACACATGGATTGGCCACCACAGACTCAAGACCTTAACCCCATTGACAATCTTTGGGATGTGTTGGAGAAGGCTTTGTGCAATGGCCAGAATCTGCCATCAACAATGCAAGATCTTGGTGAAAAATTAATGCCACACTGGAGGGAAATAGATGTGACATTGCAGAAGCTTATCAAAACAATGCCACAGTGAATGCATGCCGTAATGAAAGCTAAAGGCGCTCCAATGAAATATTAGGGTGTGACCATTTTGTTTGGTGGTGACTTTTTTTGTTTTTGGCCAGGCAGTGTAGATTTAAGGCTTTATAAACCATTCCCACACTCCTAAAAACCTTTCCCATATTTTTATTACTTCATATGCTCTTAAACAATTTGGCGATGGCGATGAAGCTGATGAGATGAATGTACAGTACACACAACATCAAAAAACGGGTTTGATAAAGTGAAGCTACAAGAAGTGAACCACAATATAGCGAGGGATGACTGTACTTCTTTTCTTCCACATATGGCACATTATACACCCATCCACCAATGATCACATAGCAATACAGTAATGGCCAAACAAGAAAAGATCTTGCATGTCCTTTGACCTTAGAGGTGGGGTGATGAATAGATTGTGAGACATGTTGTGGCTCATAATGGTACAAATATGTATGAAGTTCATCAAACTATCTAGAGCAGATCAGAAGTTATAGGCAGGGCAAGAAAAAGTTTACATATGGATGGAGGCTATAACACAATATGTCACTCGTTCGATGGGTGTTTAAGAACAAAAATGTCTGAGAAAATTATGAAAGGTGCCAACACCCATCAACTTTCTTCTTCAGGGATTTAGGACTCACTTTTGTAATAGACTTTTTCTGCAACCAGAATACAAGCAGAACCTTGGTCATTCAGTGTAGTTGTACTTCTTGTGTGGCTTTAAAAGGAATAAAGTCAATGTTTTGCAACAGCTGAGTCAAAGTCTTGACCTTAGCTGAAATGTTGTGAAAGGAACTGAAGCGAGAAGAAAACGCCATCAGCATGAAAAACCAAGCTGTTCTGTGCAGAAGAACGGATAAAAACAAAACAACCTTCAAACTTATCAACTGTTCCAAGAAACACAGTTGCTGCATGCAACGCAACACATGAGGACGAAACACCATCAACGAAAACAAGACTGTTGCACCGAGGTACCGGATCGTACATCCTGTTCACATCATCGTCTGCTGCAACTTCCTTACATAAAACTGTAATTTTCTTAAAAATTTCAAGTTTTAGTTTCTAAAATACACCAATACAATTGGTAAAATGTCTAAAAGTGTAAAAGTATCAGTGTCTGTGTGATGAACTGGTGGGCCTCACATCCCACTCAGTGACAGATGGACGCCCCACCTCTCATCCCCGAACCGAACAAACCAAACACCAGAAACTACTAGAGGATCAAATGTTTTACTAAAAGGATGTTATAAAGTATCATAAACTGATAAATCCCCTCAAATGCAAAAAGTTAACTGGGGTCATACGTGAGCGTGGCACCTCTCTTCCCTTTCAACCATTTGCCGTTGCACCTTAAGGACGTTGCATACCAGTCAGCAGCGGACCACATTCTTACCCCCACACTTTGGCCCTGTTTAACACGGGATTACACTCATTAAACTCCAAACTTAATCCTCCTTCTGGGTTACTCGGTATGACAGACGTGCTGAACATTGTGGAAAGTGTGTGTCAGGATCCAGGGAGGCCTGCCTGGACAGAGCAGGAGGCACGCAGTCAAAACACTGCTCTGAGGTGGAGGACGAGACATCCTGCTTCAACAGCTGATTTCACGTTAAACTTCTAATTTTAAAACAGTTAAATAAATATTGTTGCCTAAGTGTTTCTAAACACAGCTAAACCACTCCAGGCCATGGAGCTTAGTGAGAAATTAATGTGCAAAACTCTTTGGGCTTAACTGTACTGCCCAAAGGACTACTCGTCACCTACTGCATACAGTGAGCAGGTGAATGCTGACTGGTTGTTTGAATAACTTTCTAAAGGCCAAACATTTCTTGAAATATCTGATATAAGTTGGTGATTAAACACCTGGACACAAACTGAGCATGGCATCTGAGGTCTGGTGTAGCAAGAAGGTAAGACTGACCCACCTTCCCCCAGACATATTTTAAGTCAGGACTCAGAGGTCCAATTTCATCTTAAAGACAAGACAGGCTCTTCTGAGGACAAGGACGTTCATAGTTTGGTCTGAGAGAGGGGTGAAACTTGCTTTAAACAGGTATCAGCTTACAATTTTCCAAGACTCACAATCCTCAAAAGGTAAACGGTAAATGGTCTGTACTTATATAGCGCTTTTCTATTTACCGGTAGTCAAAATACTCAAAACACTTTACAATACAACCTGTGCCCTCATTTACCCATTCATACAGAACTCTACTAAATCTCTACAAAGATAATCTGAATCTGTAAAGATTAATCAGTGCTTTAGATCACATTCATACACCAATGGGACACACATCGGAGGCAGTGAGGGGTTCACTTCACATGCTGAAGTGTCCCTGGGCAGTGAGGGGTTCAGCGTCTTGCCCAGGGACACTTCAGCATGTGACTACTGGTGGAATCAAAACCCCATCTCTCCCATTGGAGGATAACTGCTCTAACCACTCAGCCATCTGCCCCTAATCTTTCTGCAGGAAAAGGGAAAGGAAGGAATGGTTTGTATGCGAGTTCAGCTGGCATGAACAGAGCATCTGCATTTTTAAACTTGGCACTCCACACTGATGAGTTCAAACCATCTGATAAGAAGCTAAACGTCTTCAGGGAACAAGAAAAGAAGTCCGGTTGCCTCTTAGGAATGATCAAAAGACTTAATTTGCAAATCTAATTTTTGAAAATCCTGCTTAAAAAAAGCTTCAATGGGATAAAAGTAAAAATATACCGGTATGTGCAAATTCAACTCATTTACACACTTCTGACGCTGAATGATCTCTAATCTCATCGCTGTGCTTCTCATTCCTGAGAGTTCACAATTTTTAGCATCCGCAGGGGCGCAGACAGACTCTTAAGGATTTACAGGAGTCATGGTGTGCATCCAGACTTAGAACCAACAGAATACTCCACAGACAGTACCGAATGTAATCATGTGAACAAAAACGAGTGAGAAAACTATTGCAAGAAAGGTTTTCCTCCATATTTTGCACTGCACATTGGTTGTGTCGATGTTATTCTCGGTCAAAAGTCCTTACAAAGTTGCTAGATACTTCAGGAGAACTTTATAAACACTGCGCAACTTTTGGAAAGAAATGTGATGAAAAACAACCCGTATGGGAAAGACCATGTAGCAACCAGCAACTCTTAACTTAGTTGATTGTCTTTGTATTCCAACAATATTCTACAAGGTGGAGCTATTAGTGCTGGTGACACTGTCCAAAATGGAATACAACTTTAAAGGCAATTCTCTGTTTGTTAAATACATTAATCTTAATTCTCTGAATCCCTTAGCATGGAGGGCGTATCTGGACCCCAGTAACTAAAGGTGCTGTCTCACAGTACTGTGACTGTTGGAGACAAGGTGACGACTCAAGGTTGCAAGAAAATTGTGTGGGAAAAATACACATTTTCTGCTGAAATAAGTCTTTGCAAGTGACCAGTGTGTTGAACAGCCAATTTTCGAAACTTCAATGAGTTCAAACTGAAGTGACAGGACTGCAAGCCTCTGCAGGAAAAATGAGAATGTCTGCTAACCTTGCGAGACACTCTGGACTCCCTCGTGGATGATGTCCACCAGCTCAGTGAGGTACAACACTAATTCACAAACTGTTGTATTACACTTTACAGGAGAGGGAATGAAATGTTTCATGGACGTATAACCATCGAATGGATGAGGGTGGATGAGGCCAAACAAGACTCTTTTTCTTGTCTTGTCTGAGGTTTTGTCCATACTACTCCATATATTTAAAGTTAAAAAAGAGTTTCTGATAGCATTGTATCTCTCATCCACAAAACTTGATGATTTAAAAGGATTTAAATAATTTAAAATGAAGCAAAAAGTTGTAAAAACTATTTTTAGCGCATTTTTGTGGACTAGAACCACGTAGCTTTGGAGAGACTAGTATATCTCATTACCTGTTCGTTGGGAATATGAAGATGGACTGATTGGTACTGAACACGGTACATCCATTTACCCTTTATTTATACACGTAGTCTCATTGAGCCGCGAGAACTAATTTTCAAGAGAGACCTGTTTAGGGAGCAGATGGTGGGGGTTAAAGGCCTTGCTTGGGGGCCCAGAGTGGGGCGAATGAGGGTGGAGGAAGGTGTGGGTGTTCCACCTTTTCCACCCACATTTTGTTGTTGACGGTACCGGGAGTTGAACCTGCGACTTTCAGATCACAAGCCCATCTTCTAACCTCTGTGCCACCACTAAGTGTGACTTAGTGTGACCTCTGGATGTTAGCAGCCATGAAGAGATGCTGTTTTGGGATTAATCCCATTTGCATCTGTTTAGTGTCTTTGCACAAATAAAATGCAATCCATCCAATCACTCCTATCCATTTAAACCTCTATTTATAGGCGGCAGTTTGAACGAACTGTTGGAGACTAGTTGGCAACTCAAATTAACTCAATATTGAAAAAAAAAACCATATGTTCTATTGTAGACTCACTAGATTGTCTTTGAGACCAAGCGACCAGCAAGCCGTATGACCTACTCTCTGTGCACAGCTTACGTTATTCCAACCACATCGTACCCACATCTGCAACCCCTCACATTTATGATTTAATCTACTAGAAGTCTGGGAGACTCTGTGATTCAAAAGAGGCAACTGAGATACCTCACCAACATTCTGGAAGTTTGGTCTCGTGTGCGATTCGCCAACTAGTTGCAGACCTGTGAGGTACCACCTTAATGCGATTCTCAGAAAAACTGAACAAGCATCACTGAGATAACAGTCTACAATTTTGATTTACTGGGTTCTGACCCACCTCTATGGTTTGATTCAGCTACAGATGTCTGAGTGACAGCATCGGGAGCCGATAATCAAGTTTGCACTGAAAGATTAGCAGCGCTGTTCCTACTTGGATCAGGTAATCAGAGGGGGCAAAAAGAATATTTACAGTTGCTCCGGTCCCCTCCTTCCTCCACCCTCTCTAAAAAAAACAGAGGCAGTGAGTTCATGAATGAGGTCAGGTGACCTGCAACAGCCCTGATGAGCCCAACAATCCAAAGTCTCCCTGTCTTTGACCCGTTTTATGAGCCCACAGACCCCCGATGAGACGGATTATCCAGAGACGAGCACCTGGAGAGCAACAAGCGGGGGATCAGTAGTGCTTCCTTGCTTTTTTTTAGTAGGAATAATTCTGTGGAAATCTGAAAAATACTTGAAATGTTTCAAAGACACCACTATATTTACCCAAAGGGATAGATAGATTAATAATAGATTAATGATAGATAGATAGATAGATAGATAGATAGATAGATAGATAGATAGAT